TCCACCCAATTGCTTGAATGATTTATATGTAGTGGAAAAGTCTCTGGGTGGCTATATCAGACATAAGCCAAAGTCATCTTTGCCAGAAGCGTTAGATGGGAATTAAAAAATGGCTTTGGAAAAGTCTATGTGAAAGATAGCCAAGATATATAGATCTATGCTACTGTAATTACCGATGGATGTTCTAGATTTTTCCTCCATGAATGCACATCATGTCTCATGTATCTCTATCTGTCTGTCTGTCTATATATCTATCTACCTTCCATATTCTTGTGGGTTTGGTGCTTGTGTGCCAGGAATGACTAGGTACAGACATGCCTAACTAATATTGATCCTTGGATTTCTAACTTTTTTATTTTGGTTTCCAGTATATTATAAAAAGTAGAAGTGCTATTACAATGGAAAACTAGTGGAATATTGTAAGATGATGAGAATAATTAACGTAAAACATTTGGTGGTGTAAAGACAGCAAAGTAGCAGCACCAATCAGTTGTGATACAGGCAAGTGAACATGCCTGAATAGAGGCAGAAGTTTGAGGCGGAGACTGCTTATAGATCCGAATAACATTTTTGGCCACTTGTTTGTGGGGAGTGATAAAATATGGTAACTCAAGAAAACTGTTAAGTCGTGAGAGCACAATCTGGGCTGCAGGGTGCTATCCTGCCTCAAAACCCCATTAAAAATGAGAGGGGAATTAACGTTCTTCCCATAATTAAACTGAGAAAAATTTAGGTTGAAGTCATTTCCAGTAATGCTCTTTAGAACTAGACAGTAAAGTGGGCACTGTTTGTCATACCCTTGAAGTGGCATGCTCTTTTCCATTTGTAGGTACAGAGCTCAAGACATCAGCTGTCCCCAAACTGAATTACAAGTGGATTATACAGCAACAAAACAAAGCAAAAACCCCAGAGAAAATGTATCATATGAGTCTGTGCCCTTCCAGCTGTAGTCTGAGTAGGTCAATGCTTTTCATGTGAAAAGGGATTCAGTATAGGAGCACATTTGGAATAAAAGAATTTCAGGCAGCATGTGGGGTTGAGAACGGTAACGTTATGAAGACTGAGTGTTTCCTCGCCCAAGCTTACACGTTTGATTTCCAGCACATTCCACCCCTTAACATTAAGCAAAACACACAATGGGTGTTGGTGTAAGTGACCAACCAATAGTAAGAATTGATATTGGGAAGAGTGAGGATTAATGACTTCTTAAAAAACAGGATTGTGAAATAGTCATACAAAAGAAAGAATGGGAGAATGGTAAGTGTATGTCTCAAGGACAACAGAATTAGGAAGGGTTTGCATTTTGCATCTGAAAAGGGACTTGTAGGGTTCCTATCTGCAATGCCAGCACTAAGGATTGTTGCAAGTTTGAGACTAATATGGCCTACAAAGTGAGACCATGTCTCACCTCCTACTACACCTCTTCCCAAAGAAGAGTACTAGTCATTGTAGTTATAACTTGCTTTTATAACGGTTAAGGGACTACTTAAAATGCCACAGGATGATCAGCCTGGTAGCTGTCACTTTTTAAAGAAGTCATATGAAGAATGGATTTTAATACTCAAACTAAACTTTGAAGACCAGTTTATTCTGTGATGATTCAAGAAGGCCCTCGTTGCATGCCAGTAGCATGATCCTGGACTTCTTCACTTACAAATATAGCTTGCAGTGTTGCTAATGCAGTAGACTGTGGCAGCATTTTATCTTTTGCAATACAATTTGCAGGCACATAAAAATTCTTTAAAGAATTTTAAAAAGTAGGGAAACATAACCTTCTGAAAATGTTATCTTACAAAACACTGTTCTACAAGGTCTTAATAAAAATGTCTGATAGTGTTGTGTGGAAAATTATTTCAATTTGTTAAGCAAGAATAAAGATATTTCATAATCTACTTTTATTTCTTATCTGGCTTTGATTTATAATCAAACTCAATCCTGTAATCCATCTAGATTCTTAAGGGAGTAGGGAAAGGTCTGGAACCCAAGAAGCATTAGTGGGACCAGAAATTAGGTGGTATTTTGAACTGAGAGGGTTGGGGCAGTTTCCTGAGCTACAAAAGGAATGGCTTGTTGGGTAATATGCAAACAAGTCAAAAAGTATTAGAGGTGTCCACTGTTGGTAATGACAATCATCTTGTTGGTTCCTGGACTCAAAATGTTCAATGGCTTCCATGACATTCACACCTTTTTTCCTCCTTTCCAAAGACATTTGCTACCCAACCACTCATTCTTGGCAGCATGGATAAAAATCCGAGAGGCATTTGTTTGGTCCACCATGTGTCGTGGGCAAGACAAATGCTTCAGGGTGTAGTTTTATCAAATTTCCTTTGTCATCAGTGCCATTGTGGTATGTGGAGCCACCACCCTGGCACATGAGTCCTGGTATATTTCTGTGAAAGGAGGAAGTCCTTTCCTGTGCAGTGCTCAGAGTGGGAAAATTTTCTGTTGTCTTGCAACTGTTTGTGAACAGCTGAAAGGAGACATGATTGGCTGCCATATTAGATAACACATTGGTGTTAGCAAGTGGCAATAGGAAACAAGTGTCTGCAACATGGCCAGTAACATATTAAGCTACAACATTATTTTTCAAAGTACATTTTCAGTTATATTACGCATTCTTTAGTGGTTGGAATTATTTGTGCTAAAGTGGCCATATTTTGACATTTCTAATCAAATTATCCAATGATGAAATGAGGTTAAATAAATGAAAGGACAAAGGAAAAAACTGGATACTATAGATAAAATTTTGATTAGACTTAGTTATCATTTTTTTACATCAGCATTTATGAAAGTCACACTTAAAACCTTTTTTACAAATATTTGAATTTAAATTAAGTAAAAATGAAATAGAAAAAAGCATGATACAATTAGATAGAATCCACGTATACAAGAGTACAAATCTTGAGGGTTAATAAATCATCCTTATTAACTTGATTAGATTTAGAATCACCAGGAAAACACCTCAGGGTATGTTTGAGGTCACTTCCAGAAGTTTCAGTGTGCAAAAAAGACCAACCCTGAAACTGAGTGGAACATTCCCAAGCTGAATAAAAAGGAAAAAGTGAATCAGGCACCAGGAGATGCAATGAGAACAGCTGTCTCATGTATGCATCACTATGTTGCTCTGGGCATGATGGATGGTATCTCTTTTAAAAATTCTAAGTCAAATAAAACCTTTCCTTCAAGTTGCTTTGATTAGAGCAACAGATAACTAACAGATACATGAATAAATGATTTGGTGGGTAACTGTGCTATTAATAATAGTTTCATCTGGGAATACAGGGGGATGAGGAAACAATTTTACTTCCTAAGTATATCCACTTTGTGAAGATTTGCTAAGCCTTGTGTGTAAATACATATGTAGGTATGTACAATATATGTACATATTTGTAAATATATATTTGGTTTACTTTATACAGTTCATTTAAAATGGTTGTACAATGACTCGACAGCATTCTTGTTCTAGTTTCGATGCAAACAGTTTGCATTTATTCACATTGAAACTTTATATTCTCACATTCATTATTCCTACTCTCCTTATTTTCTCCTTCACATGGTTTTGTAAAATGATATTACAAAGGGATAATCTTTGATAAAAATTGCACATGTAGGAAAATCACATAGCTTAGGGCTTGAGGTGAATAACAGGTATGTATAGTGATTCCATGTATGTGCATGTGTATGTGCTGTGATGCACATGCGGAAGACAGAGGACAAATGTGAAGTTGCTTCTTTCCTAATATCAGGGTTCCAGGGTTCAAACTTCGGTCAGCATGAGTTGTTATGCACTGATCCATCTTGTGGTCCTTACTAATTTTCTAGTCATTCATATGGCACATATAATTACCCAAAGTAATTTGAAAGGAATACAAAGTAGGAGGTGGTTCTTTTTAAAATTATTTCTGAGATAGGCTTTCTCTGAGTAGTCCTACTAGTCCTGTAACTCTCTCTCTGTAGACCAGGCTGGCCTCAAACTCTGAGATCCACCTGCATCTGACCCAGGGAAATGCTGGGATTAAAGGTGTGTGCCACTACTGCCCAGGGATGGCTATTCCTAAAACAGCCAATACAACCAAAAAACTAATCACAAAGTAGGGTAAAAATTTATTGGACTTTTCCTTTGACAGATTCTGACTACACCCCAAGATTATTATTGTGTCTCATGTTTTCTCAATTAGATTTTTAAAAAAAAACGACTAACTAAAAGCCTTAAGAAGTCTTGTATGGTGTTCGGTGAAGATTCCTTGAAGACACACACTTAAAAATGCATTAGTTAAAAATGTTTTCTTATGACTACAAAAGTAGGCCAAACTAGACAAGTAAACAAGGTTAGGTGATTACATGGTAGCTCTATGTAATCCCCAAAGTACCTGGAATGATTGGAAAATTTATCACAGCTCCTTTGTATTAAGAAACATATAGTTGTTTACAGATTTGGTCTAGGTACACACTACCTTGTTCTAATATGAAAAAAACAAACTTGCAAAATTTATGCTTATATAAAATAACATTTAGAATATATGTGGTTGTAATAAAATAGGAAGACAAATATTTTAAAATCTACAGTTTTAATATACCAAGTAATAAAATATTAGTACTTTATTTATTACAGATACTTAATATTTACAATTCTATGGGCACATATCTACATTTTTAAAACAAAGTTTTTGAAAGTAAAATCACATGAATGAATAAAACAATGTATTGACAGACTAGAGAAAAGCAAATACATCTTGGTCTTAATTTTTATGACTCCCAGAGTCACCTTGCTTTTAAAAAGCATTCACTATTTTTTCTAAAATGTCCTAATTAAGCTGTGGTAAAGTAAAACTAAACTCACATCATGCTTAGAGAGTTGCAACAGTAACAAAGCCCTGAGAAATGGGAAACATAACCTGTTGTAATTTTATATTTACTTTTAAAATACAAAAGAAGTTTCATGTTGCTTGATGAAAATATTTTAGTAAACACCTTTAGATGGCCTTTTTTCAGAGACTTGAAATACATTTCTGCAGGGACAAATACCAGACAAAGGGCATAGAGGCTTCTTAGTGTATATTTTCTTTAGAAGTGTTTCTTCTAAATTTTCTAAGCATGTTTGAATTTATTTTGTTGGTGTTTCTTTTAGAACCTAGAAGGAAAAAAAAAGGTGAATAAATTTAAAGAAACTTTCAAAAGTGATTGTTAAATTTATGTAATAATTTAGTGACAAAATTTACTCTTAAAATTCATGCTTAATTAACTCAATTGAAAACACAACAGATTTTCTGAGACCTCCACCTTTTGGTGGGAACCCAGGGCTTTCTTAGCTTGAAACTCCCCTCTACCCCTGCCTTCCTTTCTAATCCATCTCCATTACTTTGTGTTAGTCTCTAAATCACAGAAATACCCTCTTACCAGCAACTCCTACAGGCCACACAGAGCTGTGATGCAGAAGCCCTCTCCCTATAGCCACCACACTTTCATAGGATCCAGAGTGACCACCAACAACCAAAGAACAGAATACTCCAGAACAATCACCCTATGACCTATAGCAGTGACCTGCCTGCAAGATATACTGATGCATTAGTGGTACACATGCTATAGGAGCAACCAACCACTTTTTTTTTTTTTTTTTTAAATTGTTGGGAGTAAGTCCCACTAAATGAGGTGTGGCCTGAGTGTGGACCTGACACTGCTAATGTGGCCAAGAACCTGAAAATAGATAGGTCATGGGCTAACAGAAAACCTATTACTATACTTCTGCTAAGGGTACAGAGCAATAAAATGACTTCTAATGTCATCTATATACATAGATTAGTGCCTCACTTAACTCATACGAGAATCTTCTTGCAAAGATTCTTCTTAAGAATCTTCTTAACAAAGAGACTCACAGCTGGAAAACAAACAAAGAGTGAGAGACTTTGGTCATCATCAAAGCCCTCCACTCAAGGGTCAGGGATCTATAAGGAAGAGAAAGTAGAAAGAATCTACGAGCAAGAAGTGATGGAGGACTCTACAGAAACAGTGTTTTCTGGACACAACAGAAATGATGCCCAGATAAACTCATAGAGACTGTGGCAGTATGCATAAGAACTGCTCAGGTTCAAGTCAGACAGTGTACCATTACTAAGAGGAGGAAGTAAACACCAGCTCTCAGCACTATCTATAATTGATACCCACTGGCAAAAGAAAAGTTAATTTTCTTTAATGGAGTCTTAGAAGATATATCAACCACACTTCTGGGCCAGCCCTATGCCTAGGAGTAATTGAACAAGACAATATGCACTCAAAGGTATATTTGTTTCATTTTAACATTTTTTTTTTTTTTGGTCTTATTGATCTTTTTCTTGTTTGTTTTGATTTTCATTTTTGTCTTTTTACATTTTTAAGTGTTTTTTATTTTCTGTTATTATTATTATTATTTAAGAGAGCCATAAATAACATAAAGTTGTATAAGGAAAATCTGGAAGGAATTGGGTGAGAGGAAAAATATGGTCAAAGTGAAAAAATAGTTTTCAACAACAACCAAAAAATTGAAATGAAGAAAGTAATAGGTATACAGAAGAGGAAAAAAAAAAAAAAAATACAACAGTAGCAGAGCAACATTAATACTGCTGGCTAAAAGTTGTCCACTTACTCTCTTTCTCCATATTGTAAATAACATCAGCACTTCTGATAAATAGGTGTCAAGTAAAGTCACTCAATAAATTACTTCAGTTTCTCCATTTTCATTAACAGAAAATGTATATAAGCCGTTGTTTCCTTTCTCTCTTGTATAACCACCGTTTTCATATTCTTTGGATTATGTCCTCAGGCTGAGCTCTGAAACTCTGCTGTGCTTCTGACACAAATCTCACGGTCTCCTCCTTTCTCCTCTCAAATAGGGCCTCTCTACTGATAGGGGATGTCCTTCTATATATGTTTCTCCTATTAGTTGATGAATAAAAAACTGATTGACCAGTAGCCAGGCAGGAAATAAAGAAGGGTTACCAGATGAGGAAAATGCTGGGGGGGGGGAGATAAAGGGAAGCTGCCAGGGAGACACCATGTAGTCGTCAAAGGAATAACATGTTGGAGACTTCTCCAGTAAGATGAGGCCATGTAGAAATACATAGATTAGTAGTTATGGGTTAATAATTAAGAGAGCACTAGCCAAAGAAGCCTGAGCCATTGGCCAAATATTTTATACTTAATGTAAATCTATGTTTGTTTATTTGGGACAAATCTGCTGTGGGACCAGGTGGGACAAGAAACTCCATCTTCACTCTACCTTCTCATTCTTTTGCCAGTTCAGTTGTTTATACATGCTCTTGGTCACATGACTTAATTTTAGAGGATCTTGTTTTCTTGTTTCTCTAACTGCTCAGCTGACAATACTTGCCTTTCCCACCGCCACTACTGGCCTTTGTTGTTTCACTCTTGTACACTATTAGGTGAACACGATTTAAAAAAAGCAGTCATATTTTCTTTCGTTTCTAGTAATTTTTAAAATTCTAGTACATTTTAAAGTGTGTTTGGTTATTTTGGCTTATTTTATTTTTTAAGAATATTTATCTTCTATTAAAATTGATAACCTCTAACCACTCCATTATTTTTAATCAGTATATTTTTTAGCTCACTGATTTAAAACCTGTATAATAGAAACCTGCTGAAAAAGTAAGCAAGTATCAATTGTTATTATAGGAATTAACAAAGGTATTGAGGAAAAATAAGAAAAGCTTTCATGTTATGCAGAGGCATATATGTTAACTCATGAGATTCCTTTAAATTCCAAGTGATGTAAGTTCCTCCAGGGAAAAAAACCAGTCTTATAAATCTTCACATTCATTCTGGGTCCTAGCATAAGATGAGATCTTAAGAAGTCAGTACTTTCTGAAGGAAGTCATAGGAACTGGGGTGTCAGAGACAGGTATGGGCCTTGTGGTCTAGAATGGTTGATATAATACACTCATTGACAAATGGAAGGAATTTTGTTCTTACTGACTCATGTCACTCCCACATGTAATTGAGGGTATGTAGGATCCTTCATTAATATCTTTTCTCAACTTGTCAGTGGGAGTCACAATATGATTATAGCTAGGAGCAGAGTAGAGACTATATAGTAATTATAAATGATTCAGAGGGTAGATGTAAAAACACAAGCACTGAGATTAAAGTTTCAAGTGGATATAATTTATTTATAAAGTATAGTTAATAAGTTAGGCAGGGGGCCACACACCTCTAATCTCAGCACTGGGCAGCATCAGCAGGAGAATAACTAGTTCAAAACTAGCTTTTACTACATAATAAGATCCTGCCTCAAAAACAAAACATTTAAATCTATACACATACTTAATATATGTAACTGACTTACTGTGTAATACATTTGACTATTATTTTAATCATATTCAATTACAAGGTATCTGCATTATGAGGCAGTCTATACAACAAAAAGGGTATCCAGAGTAGCAAGCTGGGAAATCTGGTCCTGACTTCTGGATCTACTTTAACATCTGTTATTGATGTTACTGTATTGTTATTGAATACATGCCTCACAATGTATCTTAAGTTTCCTTTTCTACAATGTATAAAAACCACATTTATCCTACTACAAAATATAGAGATATTTATAAAGACATAAAAGCAAGGTACTATATGTATAACTGATAATTATGTAATTAAATGCTAGATTAAGAATTCAGACATACCTATTGTTACTCTGTTTCCTTGAAAGAGCTTATCACTTGAATTATCCTGTCGAATGCGTTTGGCAAATCCATAATTTTCTTCAGATTGTAAAGAAGCATTTGATGGTGCACTTGTAGAGAAAAGTTTTCATTTTAGTTAAGACATTCAAAAATATCCTTAATTCATATGCTATATATTGTAGGAAATCAAATATAGAAATAATTGTGAAATCCTGCATAAGTAACTGGAGGCACTAAAAATACTTTAAAAATAAATTTAATTATCTGTGATTTTAATGATACTTATATAATTTAAAAAAGATGATTTAGGTACAGGTAATAGTACTGCAGAGTATTTCTGAGAACGAACATGAACACTGCTTCCTATTTACAACATGGAGAGATGTCACAAGGGGGTAAAAATCTATTTTTACAGAAAAAAAAAAGTATTGTTAGGATTAAAATTTCATCAGATAAAATTCAGTTTTGTAGATTTTGGAATATCTAGGGCTTTTTGAACTCTAATTTTCTTCTTGTTAAAGAAAAATTAAAGTAGATAATGTACAATGTAAAACCACATTGTAACATATGCACCCCTAAATATGTACATACATGAAATCTACTAAGTGGAAAATACCACAGCTTGTTACTTTCAAGTTCATCTATCTTTAATTGGAGGAAAAGGAAGATTAAAAAAAAAGTAATTATGTACACATCTATCATTAATCTCTTTTAACCTTAGTTAATGGCAGGATCTAATTATTGATACCAGGGCAAAGGTACCAGAGTAGTAACTAATAGTCTGTGAACAGTCAAGTTACTCTCTTTATTATATTCTTTAATATTGTTTAACAGTATTAGTTTCTCATGTGCTAGCTAGTCCTTAACACATCTAAACCCACAAGTACACAATTTCCACAAGTAGACATTTCAAGAACACATGTACTTGAAATGATTGTGTTTACATTTTAAGAACATTCTTAGTACAGACACTTGCAATATTTTTAATAAAAACATGGGAGCATGAAAAAAAAAAAAAAAAAAAAAAACCCAGAAAACTTAATTAGTGGGAATGGGTGGATGAAACAGATGCTGAATGAAGTTTCATTATTCGAACAAAGTGAGCCAGACCAACTGCACAATTCAGATTGTCACCTGATCAAAGTGCAGCAGTCCCAATTGGCCCACAGATCATTATTACAAGATTCTACTGAGTAGGGTCCCGAAATCAGGGATGGGATTAAACTCATAATATGCTTTGTTTTTTTCCCTAAACATGTACCTAGGATAAACTTCCACATTTTGTTTAAAGAAAGCAGCTTATGACTGTTGTTTGGAGCATCCAACTGGCAGAATCAGTTAGTTGCCTTTTGTACATGGGAAATTATTTTGTAAAGTTAAGTGTTATGTGAAATCAAGCTCTGCTTAATTCACAGTAGTTCTAAACATGGCCACTAAGTAGCTTGTAATAGGTAGCACATATGGCATGGGTAAAATGGATATAGGTATGGCTGACATCATACTGCTTAAGAGTGATATGCAATGAAAATTTAAATTATTATTTCTGGAACTCTTCATTTATTATTTTCAAATATTGGTTGGCTGTTGGTTTCTGAAACTGCAAAACCCTGGGTTGAGGGAACTACTGTACCACTGTTTAAGAACCACAGAGAAATACAGTCTGGAAAAATCAAGTCATTTGTATGTTTCAAGGTTCCTTTGTCTCATGTTTTGGAAGGGCAAGAGAAGATTCTAAATTTACTTATGAGAAAATACTACATGAAGGATGAATAACTATGCTATTTGTAAATTTGTGTTCTGTGGCCTAAATAAGAAATTTAGAATTAACTTTAGCCGTTATTCTTTTCTCTATATTCTATTACAAAAAAAAAAAAAAAAAAAAAAAAAAAAAAAATGCGATAGAAAAAGAAAGAAAAAAAAAAAAAAAACACAGACCATTTCATATTTAGGTTTTTTTTTTTTTTTTAATGGTACCCATGATAAGCCATACACCTAAAGCTATTGTGTTAATCATACTTATGGTTTGTAGTACTTTTCAAATTGGTGATTTAATGGCCTTTGTCAGTTTTAGAAAACTATTTAGGCAATATCTTATCAAGTATAGCTTTTCTCTATTCTTTTTCTACTTTTTGGAGACTGAAAATAGGCATTTCCAGACTTAAAAAAAGCAGTGTTCTGAATGTCTTCTCCATAGTTGTTTTTTCTTTCTGTTTCTTCCATTACTGATTTAGGCATTTTTCTATGCATTCACCCTCAAGCACATTGATGTTCTCTTTTGTTGTTGACTGAGTTATAAATTCCAGTAAAACCTATCATTGTGATTGTAGGATATCTATTTGATTAATTTCAAGAGAATACAGTTCTTTGGTGAATCTTATAGATTATCTAATCTGCCAAAATGAATCATGGTTACAATCAATAGTTCTTATTTGCTCATACTTAGCAATTAAGGATCATTATTTCTTTTGATTGCTTTCCATTCTTTAAGTCTTCTGGTTGTGTATCTTGACATTCCACAGTTCTGGTTTAAAATGATGCATGAGTATCTGTATAGGTTCTAGATAGCATATTCTAGAGATTTTAAATTTTAGTTTAGAAGAACATGGAATAGAAAGATCACCTGAATTTAAGGAAAGACTGAGTTGATCCAAGATTCTTTGAGGTTTTAAAACTGGGTTTATTTCTAGTCTGTCCTATCCTATTCCTAGGGTACAGAACCTCGATGACTTTAAATAAAATCCTCACGTATTTAACAGTACCACTTCTTCTATAGCTTTTGACCTGGGACCTTTGGAGCTCAGAGTGTCAAGCTCAGCTTAGCAAAGTGTTCTTTTAGTAGCTACTTTCAGCTTGGTTCTCAACAGAACTTAGAAGCAGGCCAACCTGAAAAGCAATGGCTACACAGGCAACCTTGGTCCCCAGCTCACTTAAGTGTCTTTTGTTTGGCCTCCAGTCTTATGACATGAACTGGCAAGCCCTAAAATAAAAAAAAAAAAAAAAAAGGGGGGGGGGGGTGGAGACAACTAAGGCCTAGTTCCCGTAGCACTCTGCTTTCTTGGATGTTACAGTCTCAAGTCCTGGCTACCATGGTTGTTTGCTAGTACCTTTAAAAATCTGTTTGTTAGTTACATTTTATTTAGCTGTGTTAATTCAAAGATAATTTTATTATTCTTGCTTGTTGGCTTGTATGATATAAGTTACAGTGATAGCAGACACTTCATATTATATCTGGTATATATCAAAATCCACTAAAACCACTGAACTCTAGGAGCAAAGAAGTCCAGGATATTCAAGCAAGTAAATAATTATTGTCAGAATAAAAATAAGAGCTAAGTGACAGTTTGCAAGCTAGAAGACTTTTCAAATTATTTTTAATAACCTAAGAATGGGATATTTTATGTAAACTTCAAGTGAAATCTTGTGCTTCATTCATGTTTCCTTTCAGTAACATAAATCCATGGCTTCACTGAGCATTTAGCATAGATAGGATTAAATAAAAGCTGAGAGTCTGACAACAATTGAGATCTTATACACAGGCTGAAACAGTAAACGCTTCATCATACCTTATTAGTTTCCTTTTCCTCTTCGCAGCAGCAGTCATTGCCATGTAGGATGGCATGCTTGTTGACACAGGCCTAGAGTCCTTTCTTGAGAAAGAGGAAGATTCAAGCCTGGACAATAGGAATGAAGAACCAAAAGAGAACAAACTTGACTTACATTACAAAGAGAAAAATGATTTATACTTCTATAATCAGGAAACCATTGATTATTAATACTTACAGAAAGATATCCCTCTTTCTAAAGAGGTTTCTCAATCACCTTTTCTATTTTAAAAATACCAGTAATGATGTCAAAAACATTTCTGCATTTCTTATAGCAAGGGAATGCAGAGGTATAGTCCCTCCCATGTTTAGACTGAATGTAATTATGTAGTTCAATGTTTGTTTAGATGACATTCAGTCACTTGGATTACATACACTGGATGTTGGGCTATGCTGAATTTTGGATATTCTTTAAGTGAGGCATTAATGACTAATAGTAAGCAAGGCAGTCCTTCACTGATGGCTCAGGCTGAGTAAGAATACAGATGAAATGTACTTTAAGGTCTCTTCTAGTTTAAGGAAGGCCAACTGACATAGGATATCACATTTATGGTTTAAAAAAACGGTTAGAGTATCCATACTCAATTAATCTGTGGTAATGGTAAATGATCAACTTTCATCCAAGGAGAGGACCCTTGATCTATGAAATAAACCTCCAAAATAAACAAAGAGAAAGGACAATAACAATTCCAAAGGCCTTGAAAAAATTTGTAAAGCATTCTGTTTTTGTACCTGTGTAAACTACCTTTGGTGTTTGGTAGTGATTCCTGTTTGGAAAATGTATTCTTCAAGCTGTCGATATCATTATATATAGTAAATGTAGAGTTCAAATCCTGTTTACACTCTGTTCTCATGTTGAGAGGAAAATCTACTTCACATAGCGTTTTCAGAGAATTATCATTGATTCTATTTGTAGTAGGCGATGAAGGCCTTATTAAGGCTGGGGATGGGTTTTGAAGAGGTCTTCTGCAGTTCTCTGGGGTATAAACAATAGGCTTAAGTTCTTTGCTGAAAGAATCGTTGAGCTGTGTACTTTCCAACAGTGGAGACTTCTCAGTATGTTTTACTTGCAAGGAAGATGGTATTAATTTTCTCCTGGTTCTCTTTTGTGGAGTAATGTTAAGCAAGTCAGGTTCATTTGGGGACATGCCTGTTCAATTAAATTATAAAATTAAAAAGTTAAATAATGTTGCTTCAATAGTTATTTCAAAAATCACAATAGTTAAGAAAAATCACTAGGAATATTATCTACCATTTGATAGAAATCTTAAAGAGAATAACTAAGTAGGAAAGGAATAAAACATGGTAATTACTAACAACTTTAATAGTAAATTTACTGTATAGAGTTCAGAGAATAGCCTAAAATTAAATTTCCAACCACTTCTATCAATCCACAATGTCCAGTGTTCAAATTTGTCCTAGGGTTATTAATGTTTATAGGAATAAATGTGAATAATAATCGATATTCAAATAACACCTGCTTATTAGGACTAAGGGAACCGCAATTTTTTCCTCTGTATTTGTCAACACCTTCCTAAATTGTACATTTTTAAAAAATACTTACAACTAGAACAACTGTGACTGTACATTTCTTTTAATTAAGAGCTTTTAGAAATCTTTAACAGAACCATGCTAAGGCAATTTTTTGGTGCTTGATCCAAAATTAAGAAACAAATTGTTCTGGTAGAACTTAAAGTGAATTCTCAGAGTTCTAGAAATATTCTCAACATTTAAGTACACAAATGTTTATCAAATGCCTTATGTTATTCTCCAAAATAATAAGAGTATAACAATATAATTTATGAATTCTAATATATTTATCTTATGTTTAGTATTTTGCCTGCTTCATTGTGATGAATTTCAAGAGACCTGCCATGAAGTATATTAGTTTAGCCTAACTTTTCATAGAAAATAATTGTATTCTTTCTATGTATTTTTAAAATCAGGCAGGAAAGCTCCCAATTGATGTTACATTTGCTTTATTAGTTAATACTACTTAAATACTGATAGCAGCACCTATATATTTCAGCAAGGCAATACAGCACTCCTGCTAAGTTAAAAATACATGTATAGCAATTACCAGCTGTATGTGCATTATTCTTATTATGATAGTTGACAATTACCCTCTAGGAAACAAATTAAAAACAGGAAGAAATAATGATCTCCATTCTACTAAGGAATTTGACTTTTCTGAGAACTAGATAAATGAGATCTAGATCTTAAAATAATTTTCCACTCCCTTTAACATGACATTTGTCAAATTTTCCATTACCAGATATTTTTATACTAATGCCGCAGTGTAAAGACAGTCACTCTTCTCCACTGTGCTGCTACCACCAATTTGGTGGCTAATAATAGCTAGAAGATTAACTTCTTTTCCCATGAGAGACACAGGGGTATAGAAGACAGAAAACTATATTGAGGATAGAGAACTGAGTTGGGAGTCAGGAGACTGGAATTCTATTTCTGGTTTTACCAAAGACCCAGTGGGTGACCTTGGGCAACTCGTTTTAAGTAGTGTGCACATTAATACCTTGTTGAAAAATGGAGATAGTATCATTGTATAGAAAAAGGAATTTCTAGGATTAGATGATAGAAACATGTAGGGTTCAATGATATGGTCTGGAAACAAAAAAAGTACTTCAAATTAACTTCAATTTTTAACAAGGGGGCAGTTTACTTTCCATATTCTATCCATAATCAATTTCTAGTTATCTCTAAAACAATGCATTTCAAACAATGCCTTTCAAATGACAGATATAGTTTATTGAGATAGATCATACATTACAATATAAACCAAATGAATCACTGAAATAAAGACATAAATGTGTTATTTGCCATGCAAGCATAATAAGATATAAAATTTAGCAAAATGGCACAGAAAAATCTCAAAGAGATAGACAGCCATCATTACCACTTTTCTTCTATATGTCTAAGAGGAATAATCTCTGCAGTGGTGATCTGGCAACTGAACATAATGGAGGACTAACTTTTTCCTATATCAAGTAGGATATGAAAAGGAGAATCTTCCCTAAGACACCGCAAAGACAGCCACCTGTCTGCTAAATACAGATGCAACATCAAATTTTATATGGCTAGAATAGTAACCGATTAGAGAAAGAAATAACTTCATAGTGATACATCTTTAGCTATAATTTTGTAGTCTAAAATGTTAAAGTGGAGGAGAAACAAGCAGGTAAACATGGAATATATACCGATTGCTGTGCTTAGCTTGGAAGATACTATGGATACAAAAAATGTATGCGATAGAGTTCTCAGTTTTCAAATTTATTTAATTTAGATAAAATGAGGCAGATGATCAATTTAAGACTACCCAGGTGGAATAGTTGATAATAAAGGTTTAGGAGACAATAAAAGCAAAACCAATATTCACACACTTCCACAAAAATAAAACATTCAAGCCACTGTAATTATACACAAGGTTATGACCCCACTTAATGAAAACTAAAAACATATATGACATTTCATTTTGAAGAAATTTTCTAGAATATAGTGATATATATATGCACATACATACATACATACATACATGCACACACACACACACACTGTACCTTTAGGAAGGTACAATAAGTGGAAAATGTATGGTTAAGGTTACTATATAGTTCATAGGCTCTAAGATCCACTGAATGTGGTAGATCTGTGTTGACAAAAAGGATTTGCTGTATTTTTCCATTAGAAGAAAGGGGTATACAGTACATTTCCAGAAGATCTGGCTTGGAACAACAGATGTACCTAATTCAGCCTGAGAAAATATTATCTACCAAGTGTAGATAGTACTATTTATCAAGATTCCATAATTCTCAAACTTAGAGTATAGAAGTGATAAAAAGCAACCTGGAAGGAGTTATATTCCTTCATAATGTTTCCATAAAAGCTACAATGGTCATGCCCAGCACTCAGGAGGCTAAGGAAGGAGACTTGAGAGTTCAAGGCCAGTTTGAGCTATACAGCAAGACTCTTTTAACCACCCACCCACCCACCCACCCACCCACCAGTAGCATGGACAAGAGATGAAACAAGAAAATCATTAACAGCCTGCCTCTATAGCTCACTTGAAAAATGATGACAGTTTGAATGGAGAATTATGGAAAGCATGTTAGAATCAAATTAGATGCAAATGCTATAAAGTATGGTTTGTTTTTCATCAGAGGGACCAGAAGTAAGTAGTTCTGGCAAGGAGTAGGTCATCTTTGAGTATCAGTGGGTACTGATTCCAGAATAGATCCTAAATCCCAGGCTCCACTCAAATCTCTATAATATGGTGGGTGGGAGGTGGGGAGATGTAGCACTGTGTTCTCCAAGATCACACTGAATTAAGAGTCAAAGGATCCTCAGTCTTTGGAGTAGCCAGGACAACAGGAACGTAAATTCTATGCCCAGTTTTCATAAGGAAAAAAAAAAAAAAAAAAAAAAAAAACAAAAAAAACAAAACAAAACAAAACAAAAACAAAAACAAAAAAAAAACATACATTTACTTCACCTGACTTAAGAGGAAATATAAAGGGACAGCAGATAATCCAGAAACTATATCCTCCAGTATTACACAATTTTAGCTTCTACTACAAGAGTAGAATTAAGTCAATTAGGGAATAACTAAAAATGTAGAGTATTCACAATTTCACTGTTACATAAAACAATCTTTTATGGACTTGATAAAGGAGAAATATCTGTTAAATGAAGTGGTATATGGATTTTGTAAACATCTTGATCTTAATGGATAAAAATAAGCAAAAGGTCACCAAATGCAAATCAAGGCATATATAAAACTCCACAAACAAAAAATGGGGAAGAGTCTCAGAAAAGCAGAGAAGGAAATATGGCAGGTACAATGTGTGCCATCACTAGGAAAATGACTTGCTTTATGTAATATACAGGACATCCTCTAAAATACACACACCCCATAGGAGTAATGCCTTAGATAATTTTTGTACATACATGGTACAGATGAAAAAGGAAAATTAATTTAAGGTCTGTATAAAAAAGTGAGACCCTGGTATCTTCAAGTCTAATCTAATGACTTTTGAGTTGCTATTTTGATTCACAGGCATGTTTTATTCTCTGCAGACTTGTGACTAACATGTGCAGTTAATACAAGGGGTTGAGGTAATTTCTCAGTTCTTCTTACCACAGTTCAAGGATCTAGACTTAAATACCCACTGAATGGGAAGATGAAGAGTTCTAAATAAAGTATAGAAAGACGTACACTCTGTAAGTTGTGGGCTCTGGCATATTTACTTGCTTTCTTTTTCTTCTTTTGAGATCTCTAGTGAATCTAGTAAGCCTTTGTAATACTTCATATGCACAGCCTGCATGAAGATTTAAAGAATCTTCTTGAAGCATACATTCAGAATAAAGTTAGTTTTCTACTAGTCTACTCCTGAATAATGGCTAGAGATTATTACTTCTAAAAATGTGTTTAAGTCCACAAAGAGATCTGAAAAGGAAGTTAGACAAAATATTTTCTGAGACTGTTACTTTTTTAAGTTTCCCAAAAAGATATTTAATGTATTGAAACCACTCTTAAAAATTAATTCTGTGAGCACTGAGGTTGTGCTGGGGAAGTCGTGCATGTTTCATTTGGAATACTCATAGATGTTAAGACATTACTAACGAGCCACGAAGAAAGGCTGGTTAGGAAGGAGAGGTGTAGAATACACTGGTGTAAGGAGTTAAAAGGGTATATGAAAACAGGAAGGGTTAATGTGGAGTTGGGAGAGACTGTAAGGTTGGGGGTCGGTGGTATAGAGTATGCAGGGAATAACACTAAAGACCTTTTGAAAACAGATATATGGAAATCTGCTATTGTTAAAGCTTCCTAAAGTACATACACACATAAAGAATTATAATGGGAGTTACCCTGTGAAAGGGCGACAATGATCCTACATCACAGAAGGGGCTAAAAAATAAAAATGCAGTGTCAAGAATGTGTTAACTTCTGTTAGTTGACCAGTAAGGTCCCACAGATCCTCAAACATTATAGGCCATTGGCATTGCTTTTGGTTGCCCCTCCAGATCTTTACAGTAAGACCGTACTGTTGAAGAGACCACATATTTAAGTCAAAGAATATAGCAAGTCAATCTGGTGATGACCTGAAAGCTTCTCTACTGACTAGAACTGTATATAGT